ATCTCTGCCTGTTCTGTTTGTGCTGAGTAAGACTTCCACCCAGCACAACTCTGGTCTCCTTCTTCTCTTATTGATACCTGGTTGCCCCTGGTCGCTTTTCTAAGTCTGCTAATCTTCTTGCCAAAACCACTGACCTGCTCCTCTGCATCACCTCGTCTATCCATCATCTCGGAGTTCCATGCTGCCGTAAGTTAAATATGTGCAAAACACCTTGCCCAATGCCTCATCTCCTTTACTGTGTTCATCCCGTTTCCCTCTCATGAAAGAGAGTTGGCTGTCACTTTGTTTAAGCACACATGCGCCACTGTTTTTGGATGTGGAGGAAGGCCACATGTGCTCTCAGTCACTTCAGTCCAGCCCCAACCTACACCCCTGGTCAAAACGTATGTAGTTCCAAAAATCAAAGGGTAGTCTAGGAAATATAATCCTCGTTTCATTGGTCCTTTTGAAATGGAATCTATAATCTTACCCCTGAACTGTTCGCCTAAAGGTTCCTGCCTCTCTTCGCATCTATCTCACTTTTCATGTTACCCAAGTCAAACCCATTAGGGTGATATTGCTCAGGTGATGAGCTGTGCCAGGTTTCCTCAAGATGCTTAGAATTGAGGCCAAACAGTTCAATGTCGTTTTTATCAGACCAGAGAACCTTGTTTCTCACAATCTAAGAGTCCCAGATTGGTGGAGTGTTGCAGTGATTGTTGTTCTTCTGGAAGTTTCTCCCATCTCTACACAGGATCTCTGGAGCTCAGCCAGAGTGACCATTGGGATCTTGGTCACCTCTCTTAGGCCTTTCTGCCCCGATTGCTCAGTTTGGACAGGTGACCAGCTCTAAGATATTATCTGGCTGGTCCAAACATCTTTCACATGATGAAGGCCACTGTGATCATGGGAATCTTCATGACAGCAGAACATTTTTTGTAGCCTGTAGGTCTGTTCTTTCTTAATATCCTAAGTTAAGAACCCTATTGAACATAATCTTTAACCGCTCAGTTTTTAAAGCAACATTATGTAATATTTTTATCTTTAAAGAACAGCTTCAAAATCATTTTGATGGTACTTTGACTTGTAATAAGGTGAATGACGTCATTGCCACTCCGCACTCATAGTGCCTGGTATTAGACTATGTAACAATACAATCCTGGGCGGGACATTTAGCATGACAACAGCGTAATGCTGTGCGACACTCACATGACTGTAGTAGGTATCAACTTATTAGCTGGCTTGCCATGTCTTGTGTTGTTGTGCTTGCTTGATGTTTGCCTGTGTTAGCAAAGTTGTTGACTTGAGCAAAATCAGCCAGCCAGGTTTTACAGACAGAGGTTTAGCTACTAGCTATAAATCTCGAGTTGATGTTAGCAAACTTACTAGCTAACACTCTCCGACATTGGTAACGTTAGTGCTCTTGCGTTCGCTGCTGTATAGCTTTGTTGGCTAACTTGCCACCCAAGTTTGAAGCAACATTATGTTACTGCAGGTGCGGACCCCTGCAGGTGTTGTGCTGGAGCCGAGCAAGCGGGCAACACAACCAGGCTTAGCAGCCTCTATAGACATAACGCTAATGGCAGAAGCACACAGACTAAAGAGAACAGTGACAGGAATCTAGGAAGAAAAAAAGAGAGTGACCAAGCAAGAGGTTCAAGGACGTTGGCGAGAGCTTCGTGAAATAAAAGGCTGCAGGACGGACACAGAGCTGGCATTAATTTTGTTGGAATAGTAAGTAATATTGTTATGTCTTGTTTGACTGTTTTAGTTGTAGACTTGTTGGTTTTTAATCATAAATAATGTAACCCTTACATATGACTGCGTGCAGCTGTCCTTATTTACAGCGGTGAATTACACCCTGAAATGCTAGGGGTTCCAAATCACATCAAATCTTACATACTGTTGATTTAATTGTTGTCTTTTTGCAGCTTTAAATACATGTGCTCTCCCCATCATAGTGATGATGATGTTCAACTCTTTTCCTTGTACATCATCCCTTATAACCAAGGGGCAACTAAAAAATGTTGTTGTTAAAGAGATGCACTTCTCAATTTTAGTCCAAAATAATGCCACCACCTTACAGTACCAAAAGAAATGAAAACCTGACTCTCCTCCCTCGTTACAAAATACGTGTAAAGCTGTTTTAGTTCTAATAGACATCAAAAGTAATTTAATAAATGCATGAAAAAACATTCCCTATGGTATACATACAAAACCATTGTCACTTTTTGAAAGCCGTGAAAAAGGTTCAGCTGAAACTGTTAACAGTATACACAAGTTTACACTTTGACATCCATGAAAGAACCTGATTACAAGGATAGCATTGTTCTATAGATATGAATCCAATTCACCCTATTTACTTCCTTATTGTAGAGCGGGAAAACAACTGTGTTGTTTCTCTTTTTTACCAAAGAAATCCAGAAAACACTCTGGAGGATAGACATCAGTGAAACAACTCAACCTAAAGTGACTGTCCCCAGTACTCCTCAACAGAAGTATGTGCTTTCTCATCTATTTCCTGCCTCTTTTAACAGATCAGTGAAATTTGACCTACAGTAACTCTCCTCCCTTCCTTTGTCTCTCCTCTGCCGTGTTTGCATTCTCATGTATACAAAACACACATTTGCTTACATGTGCAAACACTACCTCTCCTAACTCCCATGGGTTATATATATATATATATATAATATGTATATTTTCAAGGATACATACAATGACACTTGGCGTGAAACACTGAATGTAAACATGACTTTTGTTTGTTTGCAGTGCACCTTTAACTATATATATGCTCCCTATTGCCAACACTTTTTCCACTTTACATAGAACCCTTGGCACAAGCAATAAAATAAGACCATAGTAGGTGCAGGGAATTGTGGTCAATACCACAGAACAAAAAATATGGTACATGGATAACGTATTTTTATAAGTTCATAATCTAGATATATGCCTTCCTTTTTCCTTGTCTTTTTGACATATTTGATACAGATTCAGGCTATGAGCTCAATATACAAAACACCAACATTATAGTTTAGTTACAACCTGTGCTTAAATAAAAACTCTGCATCAACTGGTCCAAAAATCAATCATATTTGGGGTTTGGGGTCTTACTTCACATGTTAGCATGCTATGATTTGCTGATTAATGCAAAAAACAGCTGAAAATGATGGCAATAATAATCATTTATATTATTATTATCATTAGTTTTACAGGTATTTGGTAATCAACTGAAGTATTGTAACAACCAATAACTATCTCAAAAGGTATGTCAAAGTATAAATTGAAATTCTGACAAGATGATGGCACTAGTGGAAAGTAAACCATGACTGGGATATCTTCTGTAGGTCACACATCCCACCACTGCTATGACTGTCAACTCTCTCACCTAACCCCCATATCCTCATGGTGCTTTGAGTATAAACACTTATTCTTCAACCTACAGGTATTTTATCTGCATTCAGATCCTGATATTGTGCTTTAATTTGTACCCAAAACAAAGCAATAATGAGGGTGGTGGAAAAAGCAAACGGCAAAAAAGGTGTACTGCCAGTTCAGGTTGAAAGCATGAGATGTGTGTGTGTGTGTGTGTGTGTGTGTGTGTGTGTGTGTTCAATATACAGTATCAGACAGAAGCAGTCTGTGATGAACGGTGAAGTGAGGACATTTGGGCCGACTCTCCCTTCTTCAAGGGGCCAGTTAAGGGTTAGGATTTGGGCTTGCCCGGGGTTACCCAGACAGCACACAGTGCTCGGACAAAGGCTCTCCAACCCTGAAGGCTCAAAGTGGGCCATGGCAAGTGTCACGTGGGCCAACTTGGCCTTTGTTTACTTACATTAGATGCAACAGTTTATTCTGGGCGACTTCATGGTGTAAAACATATGGTCTAGGATTTTGTGAAAATTGTGTGGCTATATTATACCACATGGTACACCGGGTTATTTTCACAGTAGTGTTATGTAACTGCAGTATTACGAAGCTTTATGACTGACTGGGTGGTCTGGTGTAGTACAAAACTATTCAATGGATATGGAAGGTTATTAGCAATATATTTGCTTTTTGTTCTTTCCTTTCCTTCTTTTTTTAGCAACATAAACGTTAGACATTGGCGGAAAGTCACTAAGTAAATTTACTCAAGTACTGTACACGTTTCCATTTTGTGCCACTTTTTAAACATAGTCTCCACTACATATTTTTTGCAGATTTAGTTAGTAGTTACAAACACAACTTACAATATGATTAAATATTATTGCAACAGCCTACCAGTAGTATATAAAATAGCTACGTTTAGTTCTACCTTGACTAAATACAGTAAAATGCAACTTAATTAATGCATCAGCATAAATAAGCAAATAAGCATGATGTTCACATGGGCTAATTTTTATGCTTTTACTTTTGATAGTTTAGGAACATTTAGCTAATAATACTTAATACTTAAGTTTGTACTTATTTAAGTATTGTTTTTATTCCAGGACTTTACTTAAGATACAACTTTTACTTAAGTACTGACTTTAGATGCTTTAATACTTTTATTATTTATGATTATGATTATTGTTATATTTTATTATTATAAATATATTTTCTTTTGTTGTGTTTTGTCTTATTTTCAAGTGCTTCCACTGATTGAATGTACACATTATGGTATATGTTTGTAAACCTTTCCCTCCGTCTAATTCTATTTATGTCTTTACCTCTGTATGTGTTTATTTTTGGTTAGGGTTATGTTTAGGGGTTAAATGTGGTCAATTGAGGCGTCTTGTGAGTATAGCAAAACGTGTGGCCCTTTACATGACTGATACAATAAGCCAGAGAATGTCTGCACATAAAAGGAGACGTGCTATTGAAACATTCTCAGCTGATCCATGCAGAATGAAAAGGACATCAGCATACAGCTGACCTCCCAGCAGGCAGCAGTGTGGAGGTCGATGCAGTCTCTGCAAGGTGAGATAAGGCCTTGCTATCCTTTCCTCACTGCTGGGCATGTTATCTTTATGGTTGTGGACAGGCCAACACGGGGAGACCAGTGGGTTTTTATTGTTCTTGTTTATTTCTAAACAAAGCAATACAGTGGGTTGGCAAATGCACAGATTTCTGTGTAGGGCTACACTGCAGATGACATGTTCTTAAATGTTCAATATATATTGTATGAATTAGCTTTGAGGGTTAAAATTGGGACCAAACGGTCTATGGGATGGCCTCATTAGGCTAACATATGGAAGTATTGTCCCTTTCTGTGTGTTTGTGTGTATTACAGCCTCTGAATCTGCAAGGTGGGATTTGGCCCCCGCTGCATGGATGTTGTGCTCCACTGTCCTACAGCTTCGTGGCTATTGGTCAGACTGGAATCTGCGTCAAGTTAAACACAAGTAGAAAACATGATACCGGAAGTAATGTAATTGCTTTCATATCAAAAGCATTCATGTTACGATACACATTTCGCCATGTGATATTTACCAAAGGTAGGGAGATACTGGGCTTATTTAAACACGGTAAAGTATGTAGTATGTAAAGTATAAATACGTACTTTCTATGGTGTATATTATTTTATTAATGTAGCATTTTATTCCGAAAATACTTACCGGAAACGGAGTTTTGTTGTGGGGAAAGACTGTGAGATAACAGAACTTACACCGGTCACTGAAAAAGGGGGCCGGACTCCCTCCTGTTTTCTTCCTACAAAAACTCCAGAGTTAGCAGCGGACAGTCTCGACTGGGACAGAGGAAAGTAGGCGCCGGAGACTAAAAGAAAATAAAATAAAAGGTATGAAATCTTCCGATTCGAACTCTAAAAAGTGTTTGTCATCACCAAGTTCATCCATGCGCCGTTGGAATCGCTGAGGACAAGTGACCGGCTTTCACATCGGACTGAATTTGTTTTCTGACACTGTTTATTTTATGTCACTGTATGTCGCAAGGAATGGTCGCTGCTATTTAAAATTATCCTGAAATACAAAGAGCAGCAAAGCTGATCCGCTGTCTGCAACCGCTGTCAGCAGGGAAGTGCTCATGGTGAGTTAACTTACCTCCGGTTTACTACGTTACCAAACTCCGATCAGAAACTAATGAAGTTTGAGTTACCACAGCTTTCAGTACACTTGCATACATTGCAAAACAGCCATCGACATCTTTCATAAATTAAAACATACCGGTCCTAAATTCGGCATCGATCCAATATCAAAAGAACTGTAAATGTCAGTGTCTGTTTTTCTCACATTTTACATCCGCAAACGAACGTAACGCAAATGAGGGCGGTCAAGCGATGTGAGAACCAGGGAAGGATTTTAAGGGCAACTGTGCCGCTGAGTGAATTATCATTCGAATCTTTAAATGCCCTTGCCCTGGCTTTATCTGGTATATAACTATGCTGACAATTTAAAAAAAAGAAAGGAAAAAAACAACAACTTATGAAGTGAGGTTTTCGATTTGGAGTTTTGCATCTTTAACCCGAAAACGTATTGTATAACTTAGCCGCTAGTCACTCTATTTCACTCCGCAGTTGAGCTCAGGCTGGGTGCTTTAATTAATTGCGATGTCAGTCAAAAGTGTTGTAGCCTACTGCAAAGTATATAATAACTGCTAAAGAAGAACCTGAAGTGCTCACTCCATTTTGGTAAAAAAAAATATATTTCAGACAGTGGAGGCCTATTAGTCCATTTCAGAATATTAAAAATAGCCTGTGCTGTCAGATGACTGCTTAATTCTGCATGAGTGGCCCAAACATACTTTTAACAAATGCATATCATCAGCTCACATTTCCACTGTCTAAAATACATTTCAGTGTTTAAAAATCTACTGAACAAGCCAACTGTAAATGATGGGATGCCTGACTGATTTTAGAGAAAAGCGATTTTAAGTGGAACATTAGCAGCAGCCTAAATATAGTCCGACTAAGGGAAAGATGTCAAGTAATGAGATTACATTGAGCCATTTTTGAGATGAACAGATGAGTTACCACATTTAAAATAAATACATATTGATTATGGAGACAGATATTTTATATAATATGATATTATCTATTTATGGCACAGTTCTGAATTGTACTCTTCTGTAAAAGTTCAAGTAGGCTACTCCCAAAATAATGTGTAGTAATCAGATCACACATTAATAGAAAGGGTCTTTTTAAATTTTGAGAAATCATTAGATTAGTGGAGGAGGAGAAACCCATCTTAACTTGGTGCATTGAAGGTTAAGGTCCTCTAGGATAATATATTAATAAGTGATTTTACTTCATGTTGGTGTTGGCTGTTTTGGCTCATGACAGTCACCAACCAGAGGCTATAATTCAACCGTGCCGCCATTTATTACCAGATCACTGAGTTGTCAACTTCTTAAAGTACATTTTAAGTATATAATCAGTAATCTGTAGCGGGTAGTATATGAAAGTGACCCTCGCAGCCCTGCCTGTTCATCCGTCTCTGTCCTCCCTTGGGATGATCGTCGACTTGGTTCCCAGGCACAAAGAGTATGTGGGAGACACTGAGAAAAAAGTGTGAGGATCATTCCAAAAGGGCAAGGCAGAACCCGAAATCATTCAAAAAATCCCTTTAAAAAAAAAAAAAAGGAAGTTTTTTAGGACATTAGCACTGCTTCGTCAATGTACCTTGTAATTGGGGAGAATATAGATTTGAAAAACATCCCTGTTTTCCTGGTGGATCATTATCTGTGGTGCTCCATGCTAACACGTTGTTGTGTGGAAGCAGGAAACGTTCTCCGAATCTGAAATCTCTTAAACTCCGTTCAGGTCATGTAGACAAGTTTATATGTGGACATCGAGCAAGTATTCACTCAAAATCATGTGATTTTGATCTGTTTACATTTCCCTTTTGCACACCACAGTCACTTCCTGTGGAAAAAGTTCATTATAGTATAGTACATTATATCTGTATCCTATTTCCATCTCATACACAACCCTGTATAAATTAGCCACTACTTTATCATTTAAGATTAGTTGAATGTGCCACTGAATGTTCTCATTTTCTCCCTTTTCACAAAATGCTAGTTTACTGTGCTACTTAGTGTCAAGTTTTTGGCATGTAACAGCAGAGCCAATTACTCAGTGGGATGATTCGGGCTTCAATGTGTTAACCACAGTCTTCAGTCCTTTAACTTGAATGTACAGCAGGCATCACTGCATTCTGAGTCTGTGTTGTTGCTGCAGAGGTTACACAGGAAGTCCTTTAGATAGATGGGGTGTGTGTGTGTGTGTGTGTGTAAGCCGGGTTGTTTGTGTTGATCCAGGCCTCTTGGCTCTTTGTGTTTGAGGAGGGGTCTCCGGCCTCGCCGGGCTGACCTCAGGGTTGCCATGGAGACAACAGGAGTGACTTCCTGAATTCTCGGCCCATCCCGCAATACATTGCAGGGCAGGGATCTAGGGTCAAGCTCAAAAAGGGAGGAAGGCTAAGACCATTCTATTTTAATGGATCTATTTATTCCATAAAATAGATAAAATATAATATAAAGAAATTGAATGCAGTAATATGGAGCCAAGCTGAAACAAAAAGAACCAACACAATGCATCTATAAAGACATTTAAATGAGGCATCCTGATTTGGCTATACAGTCTCAGAGCTTGGTTCTAATGGTTTCCATAATTTTATCCTTTCAAGCCACATTCATATAATAATAATAATAATAATAATATTATATGTTGTCTCCCATCAGCTTACTTAATGTTTTACTTTCTGGCCAACAACCTGGTTATTCAGTGGAATACCATTGGTGTAACTAGGTTGTTACTTTGTGTTGCTTTGTGTTACTGAGGCACAATAACAGAATTCCCACGTAATGAGGTTTTAATGGTAACTTAAAACAGGAAAGATAGAAAACTTAAAACGGAGCTCTTCTTGGGTAAAATGCTTATTGGCTGTCTTTACAAGACTTGAAAAGAACATTTATACCGCTCTTATATCTGTGTGTAAAATACAGAGCTAGAGTCAGTTAGCCTAGCGTAGTTGACATTTATCAGAAGAATAATGAGTAGAATGAACTAAGTATAAATACCTTAACTATACTGTGTGTGCAGTAGGTGTGTAAACCTACACAGAGTATGTGTTAGCAGGTGCTAGACATTCATTGAGAAAGACCAGGGGTTTATTATCAACTTTTCCAACATCATTGCTAAACATAGTTTCCTGCAAGCCCCTGGTACTCTGCACCCGAGGGTGTCGAGGAACATTAACCCGCCGTTTTTGTCCTTTAGGAGTCAACATTGTTAATAATCAGAGTTCTGGTTTCACGGGCGGACAGCTTTGTTAGTATTCAGGACCCTGATCGGAATATCCGCCGGTCCGTTAAACTGCTGACAGAGACTGATATACAAGGTCAACTCGTGTGTGTGTGTGTGTGTGTGAGAGAGAGAGAGAGTGAGAGAGAGAGCTGAACCAAGGAGGAAGGGCGGGCGTTAAAGAAAGGGCAGGATCTGTGCTATCAGATAAAGAATGGAAACTTGTAGGAAAACGTCAGCTACACACTCGCACACACACACACACAGGCCCACACACACACACTAATGCAAAAGGTTTAGCCAGTCGCAAGTGTTGTTAATGAAGATTAGAAGTTAAATTGCAATCTAATTATGAAGTCAAGGGCACAGATTATGCTATACGGTATATCAATCTCAGTGTGGTGAAGTACTTAAAGTATCTGAGAGATGTAATAATGTTGTGGAAAATCATTTGACACCAGATCCATGGCAGGGAGCCTGTAAATGTAAAATCCACTAAGCTGAGCAGTAACTAATGGAGTGGTGATTCAGATTGTCTCTTCAGGAATCCAGGTACTGAGTCACCAATTACATTTCAGTTAGCAGTCAGGAGTGTCAGCAAGCTCCTGGTGGAGGTGATGGTGTGTGTACTTTATATAGGCTTGTTTGTGTGTGTTTCTGGAAGAGTTCATACATCTGCCAGATGTGGTGTGCCGTGTAGAGGCTGGGCCCCGAATGAGACAGTGTAATAATGTTGATCAGATAAGAATGGTATCCACGTGCTCATGATCTTTCCTGTAGCTTTCTGGCCCTGCGATTTAGTTTTTCATTTCTGACTTGTTAACTTACAGTCGTCTGATGGAACTTTTGTAGGAACCCGGGAAGTATTTTAAGAACTCGGAAACCATTCGGCATTTCAACGAGAGAAATCTTGTGTAGCTCCTGCCCCTCAAAAGTACCAAGAACTGTGGGTGATGTTTACAACACTGAACATTTTTGACAAACACAAGTGCTACAAGTCCTTAAAACTAGATTTTAACCTCAAGGTTAGGTAGTAATGCATGTGTCATGTTGAAGCCCTCATTTCAGTTTATAGTCCCACACATGCCTTTCGTGCCTCCTTAGGGTCTGGGGCCCCAGAGCAGTTGCCCACTTTGCATTGTAGTTGATTCACTCCTCTTTAGACTTGGCAGGAAGAGTAGTTGAGCGTAACTGTACTTGCAAATTGTTTTCATAAGGCTATTTATTTTTATTTAACAGTTATTGACTAATAGTTCCACTGTGCTGGAATCAAATGCTCCTCCTTACTTTAGTTTCTGGGACTGTGTGGGCAAAAAGACCCATGGCCTAACATTTTGCCGTTGTAAGTATCCAAAGTCTTGTAGCTATTTTCTGGGAAAAGTGCAAAGTGTGCGCTCTTGAATAGCAAGAAATGGATCATTAGCATTGAGAGCGGGAGATCCAGGACAACTCTCCTCACAATAACTATCAACTGACAATGCACAAAAATGTCACACAAAAAATGATTGTAAAGTGAAAATGAGCAGCGAATCATGGC